TATTCTTCTCATTATGTCAAAATTCTGCTACCCAGACTGTGGTACTCCCTACTAAAATGTCTTGAATATTTTGTTACGCTACAAAAAGTGAACAAAATATTTTTAGCCAAAGATGTATGTAGATTCCAGTTGAAATATTCTTTTAAAAACTATAATGCTTAGTTTTATTATTATCTCCCATGACTGCTATCCTGCCCTACCTATTTTTGTATTGAATACTAAACTCTATCAGATAGTGAGCAAAGGGAAGTTTAGCTCATTGGAAAAGTCAGATGCTGTGCGTACAAGATGGCAACACAGAAATTTGAAACACGAAGGTAAAAAAGTCATTTCAATGGTTACTTTTCTCTGTGTTGTCAGCTACAGAAAACTCACAAGGCATCAATTAATAACAGATATTATGAAGACTATGAGACTATAATGTGGCATTCAATACTTTTTGCCAAAGAAAAAAGAGACTCTGATCTTTCGATTTGGAGAATACATTTAGCTTTACTCATTTCTATCATATATTCAAATTTAATTCTAATTAATTTAGGTATATGAACCATTAAAATATAAAATGGTATTTAACTTTTAAAACATAAAAGACCATTTTGCTTGCTTCAAAAGCTTGTAAACTTCTAAATATTTCACTTTATTGAGGCAGATGTTTCTTTGACTAACTCAGTGACTTGGTATTCTAAGATAACAAAAAAGTACATTTAGGATATACAATCATGAGACGTGACTAGCAAGTAATGTGATTGATTTGTCAACAAGCATACTAAGAACTAAACATCCAAACAAGCGTTACATTTCTAAGCAGCCACTATGGGAGATCAGACACATTTCAGTGGTGCTGCCACTGAGCAACACATTTCAAACTTCTCCTTTAGAATGTTCTCAGAAGTAATTTATGAACCATACAAAGCTCAGGCTCATTGCTTTATAAATTGCACCTCATATAGCAGCGATTTGAAGCAAAGCAGAATTGAAATATGTAATTTTCTCTTCTCTTTTATTTACAAAAAGAAACAAATGTTAAATTATTAAGCCCCCAAATAAACTGCTTTTATAAGCCTATTATTTAAATCTAGAAAGACAATTGTAAAAATAATAATAAGAATCATGATCCTTCTTTTCCCCTTAGAATTTGAATAGGGACATAATATGGACCTGTAATCAGTGCCTCACTCATGAACCTCAAGCCTGATGGTCCTGTCTGTTCTCCCAGTGACCACCTTGGCAAATTCCGGTATTTTATTTCTCCTCATTCTTCTCAACCTCTCTTTATCATCTGACATTCTTGATCATCCTTGTTTCGCCCCAACATGCTGTGAGCAGCGTTCTTAAAGGAAATTCCATACCACTCTGGGTCCTTAGCCTTTCTCTGACTTACTGTGCTGTGTCCTCTTCCCCCGTTCATGTAAGTGTTGCTCTACATACAGAGTTACAAACATACTTAAATATTTATTGACTAAATAAATAGTTAAGCCCTCGGTTCTCTGCTCTGTTTTTCTGTGCTGTTTCCCTTGTTAAACGAAATGTTACATGTTTAACTGTCACCGCTTCTCAAATATCAAGTCCCACTACTCAAGCTTGCTCCATCCATATCACTTTCTAGTTATGCAACCTTGATCAGGTTACTTAACCTGAGTCTCAGTTTCCTCATGTGTAAAATGAGGATGAAACTCTTGTCTACCTCACAGAATTATGACCAGAGACGGAACACTTAGGAAGTTTCTGATACATTTCAAGTGTTCGTTATTTCAACTGTTATTGTTTTTTCCCCCAATACTTCATAACATCCTCACTTGGATGTCACACAATCAATTCAGCGTATTTTTAAAAAATATAAACACCGTCTAGAACTTGCACCAAAATAAAATGTTATTCTTTCACTTAAATTATGCAAGTACTAGAATTAAATTCTTATTTAATTATTTTTCTTCTACCTTTAGTAGTGAAGGGTAGACAGCAATAGTTCTCTTAAGTTAATAGAGAGGCTTCATATAGATGTAAAAGCTCTGTGTTGCCTTGGGGTATGCTGTCAAAATGCTGTGACCTCCAATTGACAGGAAAGTTAATCAAAACCGTGTCAACATACTGTGTACCCCTAAACTTTCTTATCCTACTGACTTCCCCAAACTTGCTTTTCTTTTGTTATTACCGTGATCACACGTGGGAACACCATTCTTTCGGGCACTGGGTTTGAAATCTGGTCCTTTGACCCTCTCTGTCCCATCCCTTCTTCACAGGCACCACACTACTGATGCTCACTCTTCCATCCCTCTACGATCGCCCTCGTCCAAACCCTTGGCATCTCATTCGTAGACCACTACGCTATACATCTAACTCGCCCACCTGCCCTTATCCTCACATTCTACCAATTCACTACACACACACTCATCATGTTAATTTTCCAAAAGCAGTTTCATATTGTCTGAATAAAGTTTTATCATGCACATCATTTTGTACACCTAATACAATTTATTGTACAATGTAAACACTCAAATTTGTAGAATAAATCTCATCTCCTTACACAGAAACCCCCACTGATTGCATGATGGTAGTATTGCCCTAAGAGTCCCATACTGCATCTTAACCATAGTTCTGTGAATGTCAAATAAGGGCAAAGGATAGGAAACGAACATATACAAATATCATAAGTATGACGCCTTGGCTTAGTATATTTTCATTTTAGTCTCACACAATAACCTGTGATAAAGGTACTAACTCCATTTCAGTAGCAAAGAAGTTCCGAGACATCAAGATTACTGCTCAGCTGGAAGGATCCACACTTAGATATGAAGTCACTGTCCTGGCCTCAAAATGTATGCCCATTTTATTCCATTCCTACCTTCTTTTAAGCAGTGTTTTAAAGATGAGAGTTCCTTGGATACATTAGTTTCCTACTGCTTCTGTAACAAACGACCACAAATTGAGAGGTTTAGAACAATGCAAATTTGTTATCTTAGAGTCCAGGAGGTCAGAAACCCCAAATCAGTTTTCCTGGACTAAAATCAAAGCGTTGGCAGAGCTGGTTGCTTCTGGAGGCTCTGAGAGGAAAATCCGTTTCACTGCCTTTTTCAGCTTCTAGAGGCTACCTGTATTCCCTGGCTTTTACCCCCTCCTCACGTCACACCGATCTCTTGCTTCTGTCCTCACGTATTTTATGACTGCTTTGAACCCTCCTGCCCCTCTCTTGTAAGGACTCTTGTAATCACCCTAGGCCTGTCTGGCTAATCTAGAATCATGGACCTCCTTTTGCCATGTAGGGTCACATACTCACAGGTTCCAGGCATTAGGACATGGACCTCTTTGGGGGGTCATCATTCAGCCTATTACACTAGGCATGAGCTCTGATAACGGAGCCTGAATTCCCTGAAACCAAGAGCTGGTGATAATTAGATGTCCTAGCAATACCTATACATGGCAACCTTTTGTCAAGAGGTTTTGAACATAATCAAGAATCATTTACCTAAGAAGACAGTTTATTTACTCACCTGCTCATTTATTCTGAACTTTCAGGTTGGTAAATAAAATTCAATTTTGTTCCTCCTGAACAATTAAAAGAAGCTTGAGAGGAACAGGAAGGACACATTAAGTAACAATTGTACGTGTGGAAGGACTTATGAGAAAGAGTATACTTGCAACTGCATTGAACTCAAAACAGAAATGTCAATTTTTTAAAGTTTAAATGTAAAATCAGTCTACTCCTGACTCATATTTCTTACAGACTTAGCATGTTTTTTACCATGAGGGTCTTTAAATTTGGACAGTTTATTTTTCAAAATGTACTGTGTTCAAGCATATATTATAAAGTTAGTACTTCATTATTCCCCATCAGCAAAACAAGAAGTCTAAATATGTTTAATGATTCAGTTTTTGCATATCATAAGAACACTACTTAATGGTGCTTGAATTAACCAAATAAATGGAACTAACTGATGGCATCCCTTCTTAATGATACTGACTTTTTAGGCCATCTCTTTTGCTTCGATCACTCTCATTAGCCCAGGGCCACTTGCCTAGGACGTGCCCTCTGGCATTTCTATAGATCAACGAAATGGGGACGCTTCCATGCTAACTCAGGGACAAGCAGCTTCTCTGTGGTCTTCTGACTTTTTTTTTTTTTTAAGATTTTTTGATGTGGACCTTTTTTTTTTTAAAGTCTTTATTGAATTTGTTACAATATTGCTTCTGTTTTATGTTTCGGTTTTTTGGCCGTGAGGCATGTGGGATCTTAGCTCCCAGATCAGGGATCGAACCCGCACCCCCTACACTGGAAAGTGAAGTCTTAACCACTGGACCACCAGGGAAGTCCCTGACTCCTTTATTTCTTCTACCCTGAAAATCGTCAGTCTTTCAGGAGTGTTTAATTTACATTAAGGGTCATAAATATACACTGGTAGAATTTTGCTACCGAAGAACTCTGTCATATTGACATAAAAGCTTGATGAAACATGTACAAAACTTTTACTACAAATAAAAATACCAATATAAGTCCTTTATCTTGATAAACATATTTAAGTATTATTATCTCAAACATCAACGCTGTATAAAGAAATATTGGCACAAAATGCATGGTTAAAATAAACTGAGAAATGCATGTTATTAAACTATAATAAATCCACAATTTTTTAAAAAGTGTGATGCCTGTGTTAGAATATTTTAGTCCATGAATAAAGCTGTTAAAATCCTTAAACATATATACTTAAAATAATAGCACTAAAAAAGAAAGTCTTCCCCAGACTTTCTGAAAATCAAAGAACAAAGGAAAATGACCTTTTAGACAGATTAAAGACCTAAAGGTGAATATTGAATTATATGTTTTTTCCCGAGTTGATTTAACCTCATGTGAACAATAGTTGTCTTGTAAACGGATGTATACGAACTTTAGAAACCAAACTTTCAAATGGAATTTATTTCAGTTATGCCACAGACTTGAGGACATGTCACACTCATTCCAAGAGCTATTTGTTACTTAGAAGTTTAAGTGTTCTGACCAGTGAAAAGTTAACAGCAAAATGAAAAAAGCTGAGAATAGCATGGTTTAAAGAATGCCAATTTGTAACCCAAGGGATAGGTACTTGCATACTAATTGTAATGTTCCTGCTGTCACATTCCCTTCAGCTTGAAGATCAGTCAGAAAGAGAAATTCAGCATCATCTGTGACAGCCAGACAGTGGAACAAAAAATGCCAGTGAAGTGAGCTGCTGTTTAAAGCTATTTTTGTCTCAGATGTACAAATGAAAACACTTGAGTCTTCATTAGTCTCGATGTTTTGTTTCCTTCATTTATGATAAATATGCTAATTGTTGTCTTTCCTCCTGATTTATTTTTTTCTCCTTTCTCCACTGATTCCTTCTTCTTTTCTAAAATCCGTCCACAATGCATGGCTTGCCTGTACAGTTAATTCTTTATACTTGCTAAGATAAAGAAAGGCTACAAAGTGGAGAAAACCCACTGAGCTCCCTTTATGTGAAGCTTTCCCAAATTATTAAATGTTCAGGTTAAAGACATAAGATATATATGATCCTTGCAAAAACTATTCGTTGTTGCAACATGGATTGAGAAATTTGAACATAGATATTAACTGTGGGGTAAGGCAGCAGCTGTCACTTCCTGGAGCACGCGGGCTCCTTGCGTGAATCTCTTGCTCTCCAGCAAACCGCTAATTGAGTGTGGAGAGCTCAGTTGTCAGAGCCCACATTTTTACATGCAGTACAACTGGTTCTAGCGGGCACAGTTAGCAAGATAACTGGTAGCTTTCACGCAGTTCCCATCTGGCCTGGCTCTTCTCCGGACACATAATATGGGGACTGCTGGCCTTGATGGCACTCGTTTAATGAAGGAAATCAGCCAAAGCCCCATGAAACACTAAGTGTGATTTTGGCTCCAGATACACAAGTGAATTTCAAGGCAAGTCATACACACACAAAAAAATTACGACTATGCACCACAATTTTACAGGAAATATATGCGAACACACAATGGAGAAGAGCCAGACAAAATCTTTGTAAAGTTCCAACTAAAATCCAAATAAAAGGGGAAAAAAAGAAAAGTGAGAGAGAGAGAGAGTGAGAGAGAGGAGGGAGGGAGAAGTACACTGTCCATTTATTTAAGGTAGCACTTGTCAAGTAAATTCAACCCAGTCAGTCTATTTTTAAATCAGCCAGCCCCTCTATCCCCCAATTTTAATTCAATAGATTTTTCTTAACATTTATATAGTTGTGTTTCTAAAAATTTTAAACCTATTTGTCAGTCACATCTAACATAAGAAATGTCCTATTTTTGTTTGATAATGTACAAAATTGAAGAACCACTGTCTTCTGAAAACTTTCTATTGAGTAGAAATTACTACAGTTTAACTGTTATTTAGAGGAAATATTTGTGTGACGTGTAATAAACTCTATTACAGGAAAAACACCCTAAAATGTATTTGAAATGTTTATTACAGATGTTCCAAAACATGAACAAAGTATAAGCATATGTATATTGACTCATCCATTCCAGGAAGAATTGTAAAAAGAGTTTGGGTTACAAGCAGATACACCTGTGTTTGAACTCTAACTGCCTATTAATGCATGTGTGATGTTACACCAGTTATTAACATTTATGTCTTCTTACTCATTGGTAACATGGAATTAAAACAGACTGTCATTTTGAAGATTAAATGAAGTAAAGTATGTGACATGATTAGCACAATGTGGTATAGATTGTAAACATTCGGTACATTGCTTTTCATTTTAGTGCTATTATAAAAATTGTCTTTCAGTTTATTCACATATAGAAATTACTCTTCCAAAGAATTACAATCAACCTCAAATTTAAAAATTTGAACAGCAAATTAATACTGTTTCTTAAAATAGTTGCATTTCACCTAACTTCTGAAAAATAAATACTGCCTTACAACCAACCCTTCCATCATATCAGGTAGTCAAAATTGAACCTCTCAAGTCAAATTTGAAATCTATTAGAAAACAGTGAGCTGAGGGCATTCCAGGCATTATCACACACCAGCAGGGGTATTTCTTCAGAGGGTTGAAGGACAACTTTTTCCTTTACAACAATGTCAGTATTTCGTGTACCTTAAATATTACTAGAATATCCTAGTATCTCCACTGATATTCTATATCTATAGAATATCTATAATATTTTAGTATATCTCCCTAATTCAAAACATTATGAATTTTTTTTTGTCCTTGGTTCTATACCATCTCCCAGACTTTGCTCTCTTTTTTCTGTTTTTACTGCTTCCCTACATTCATGATGACACTAAGAATAGCTACCACTCATTTGAACACTTCCATTTCAAAAAGACTCCTTTACATCCAACAAGTCCTTCCCTGAATATTCCTTTTGCTTTGGGCTTAAGCAAACTCTGGCTCTCCCTGAAGGACATGGCTTGCTTTGATGCCTTCAGAATGGATGTTGTCCATTTCCTCCAATTTCACATGCTCAGGGTTGAGAGTGAGGTCCCTGGTCTGTCGCTGCCTAGTGATTCTTTTGCATCATTTCTCCTCTTTCCTCACCCAAAACACACTCTGAAGTTAACACAATTCAACTATACCTTTAGTAACCTTCTTATCACGGTCATCTACCAGCATCTTGAAAGTCACTGCACTGCTTCCATTGAAGGCTTTAATGCCTGCCACTATTTGGGGTTTGGCCATTCAGTCATTATTTATTTACATGTCCAACAAATATTTCTTGAACCAGACACACTGTTCTTGGTGCTGGATAATAACATATTTTCCTGTCAACAGACAACTTACATACAAATCGGGGAGTACATGTTCATTCTTGAACGATTCTGCCTAGATTCTATTTCTCAGGGTTTTTCTTTGATGGCTGTTCCTTATTCAGAATGGGTGTACTGTGTGGCCAGACTAGGGATCAAAACTCTCTGCACTCTTCATGGACATACACTCCACAGGTACTAAGTAGAAATTTGAGTACCATGCTAACCACCAAATTTCAATCTATAAATACACACAACATTTTAAACACGTGCGTTTTAAGCAATCATATAATTTTAGCACCATTTGATAGAATCCCTAATACGTGACAGAAGACTTAATATTTGACTCACATGAAATATAATGTAAGCATTTTACAGTAACAGTTTTCATAGTGCACACAAGCTCTTCTACAGAAAATTAGATCTTATGTCGGGTCCCATTCTGCATTTATGAAAGATGGAAATGCAACCTAAATCTTTAAAAATGTCCATTTGAATGAAAAAAAAAACATTTCAAAATGGCTTCACAGGAAATCTTGTGTCCCCAGGATTTAGTAGATCAAGGGAGACAGGAAAATCAGTTGCCTGCTATTGGGGAAGAAAGTAAAAGAAATGGGAGATAGGAAATAAGAGTAATGGGAGGTAGCAAGATGAGTTCCCTGTCATCATAGCCTCCCCATGTAGCCTCTACAAGGACAGACATTACTATCTGAAAATATAACTACAACTGCAACAGCAGAAGGGAGCAGAGTCACTCCTAACACAAATGATGAAAACTGCAGCAAATCACACAAAGTAATAGAATAAAAAAGCTTAGAGATCGAGTCACACTAGCATATATGCTAGTAGAATCTATGTATGTAGCATAGATGCTACATACATCTAGTCACCTTGATATGCAAAAGTTTATAAGAATGACTGGATGGGAGACTCTATCTTATTATCAATCATTTTAATAGAAACCTTCAATTAGACCATTCCTTTCCATAACGAAGTCATTTGCACATCACAGCTACATTATCCAAAATTTTTCTTCTGGGTAGCCGATGCTTTCTGTGGATGGCGGCTTATTTCATCAGGATCTTTGTTTATTAAGGGGAATAATGCATGATATATTTACATCTCAGAAAGTTTATATCTCAAATCTGATTTATTATTTCTACATCACATCCCTAAAAGTATACCTTCTTTAGAAGACTTAAGTCAATAAATTTTTTGACTGCTTTGGAAAAGATATTACTCTGTCCTGACTGATTCCTAGATTTAAATAAATCAACCCAGAACTGGAAGCATACCAGTCTAAAGAGAAATAAAGGCTGTCTCAGAGTAGGTAAAGACTTCTCAAAATACTATAAATAAACATTTTTAAAATCATCACATGTTAGAAATCCTTAATCAAAACTTTAAAAAAACTTTTTTAAGATGCATAATTATGAAATGGACAATTCTGGATACTGTGAAAACTTAGAAAATAGTTCATTCGTCATTATTGCTATCATGATAACTCTTCAGGAATAGACTAGTGTAATGCCATATAAATTAACAATTAATATAGCTGAGAAGAAATTCACGAGGCTATGTAGAACAATGAGCAATCTCTCTCGTGCCTTTATTAGAATTCAAGAATTTGTAAGTATTATTAACACTGTTGGCCAGATTAATAATTTGCTGATGTCAAATTACTTCCCACTTTGATTTGCTATTGCTCTCTACTGTGGAAAACATTATATAATTCTCATTGACCTTTTGCAGTTTAATTCATGAAGCAAAGCTAATTTAAATGATATAATTCAATAAATACACATAACTCAAATATTACTATAGGTTATAGAAGAAAAAGATCACAATGCTATTGTCAAGGGTAGATGCTGTTTCCACAGGTCACCAACTACAGAAACAACAGTGTGTTCTGAAAATATGGATACACTTTTAACCAACCAAGGTAAGATCCAACTAATAATAGGTTTAAAAATACCATGATTAAAATAAAATCATTAAATTCTGAAAGTTGTAGTCATGTTATACAGTATGAGTTTGATCAATATTTGAAGAATGAGATTCCCAAAACTCACACAAATTTATACAGGCCCAAAGTTTAAATGGAATTAGGTTGGGTCCAAAATAAGACAAGATGATAGAAATTCCAAACGTTAAAACAAAAAGAAAATCCCAAATAGGAAGTGATAAAGTTGTCATTTTCTTAGACTCATTATCATTTGATGTATATCATGACTACCTTTGTTACAAATTGAAAGACACGTACAAACTATTGAAAAGTTGAAAATTTAAATAAATCACTTGTTTTTCATGTCCTGCAGGCTAAAATAAAGTTTTTTAAGTATCAATATTTATTTCAATTGAGTTCTTACTTTAGTGAATACAAAAACATATTTAAATGTGTGTGTATATATTAATATGTACATTGTGGATATATATTTTCAATTAATATGATGGCTTAATAAGGTAATTTTGGTCAATTATAAATAAAACATCTAAGAATTTAATACGAAATAGTCATTTACAAAGATATGTAGAATTCTGCTTTTGTTATACATAATCCTGCTTGGCAGTATTTCTGTTTCATATGGGATAGAAATGACATTATAGAGACATACATAGAAAATGTTTGAAATGCAGTATTGTTTGTTCTAATCAAATGGCATTTCCACTTTAAATTTATAAAGTAAATATCAGAATATTAGAAAAGTTTAAAACATGGTAAAGCTGAATAAATTCTTCATGGCTGTTTATTTATATGCACAATTAGACTGAAATAGACAAAATTACACTTTCATTTTATGATTCTCAAATAACTAATTCCCAAAGCATAGATATAAAATAATCCACAATACACCTAGAATCCAACTAAGGACATATATTAAAGATGTCAGAGATACGGAATTGCATTTTTGTAAGTGTCGAATGGCGTGTCTCTTTTTTCCTTAAATACATAACCAGCGGGATAGATCAGGTTTGCTAAGAGCCTCAGGAAGGTATCTGCAGGTGGAGAGGTGGCTGGGACAGCACCGCAGAACAGAGACATGGAAGGTGTTAGATGAAGGCAAATGCTTCCACCTGCAAACCTCCTGGGATTTTTGTACCTCATGCCTGCATAAAGCAGAAAAGTCATAGATTCATCTGCAAAGCTGTTTGGTTTTTGCTTTTTATGAAACCAGAGAAATAGCTCTCATGCTTTTTAATGCTTTAAACAGTTAAATGACTTACCATATGACCTCCTTGTCTTTTGACCTGAGGATATGTCTCGCATGTATTAGTGTGGCTTCCGCCACCTATTGCTGACCTATTCTACCCATCAGCCCCTGCTGTGCCTAAGCAGTAGCCATTCCCTCCTGTAGAGAGTCCTCAGATGACATGATAGTGATTGTATGTACCATATTATTCCAAAGTCATTCGACATCCTATGAACATTCAAATTGTATGTATAGGGTAGACGAGTAGTTCAACAATAGTGTGTCCAAGACAGAGATAACTAGCCCCAGTTTTAGTTGTTTATTCTGTTCCCTTGTGTCCAAACAGAGCAATAGGAGGAGAAAAGAAGGAAATGGTTGTTAGTTTGATGTAGCCCTGCATTAAAATAGCAGGTGGGAAGAAAATAACAATAGTCTCTTGATCTCTAACTTCCTGTCTCTGGGATGCACTTAGATAACCCTCACTGGGAAAAAGCTTCATATGCCTTAATGACACACAAATAAAATAGTGCCAGACATGAATCTATAATATTCTTTCAGTATTATTGCTTAATCTCCTATATAAAATAGATTTTAGTCTAAACTCTGTTTAGACCTGTCCAATTCACCATTGTTTGGACCTCATGGAAAATTTTAACTGTGTTACTAAGAGGATTTTTATAACCCAAATATGTGTCACAGAATCTCAGAAGCTTCTCAGATGTATTTTTAAATGCAAGAAATGTGCAGTTAATTGAATTTTTTATAGTGCTCACATATTAACAACATCCACGCTCTCCAATATTTCTACTGAGAATTTTCATTGGTACCTGAAAACCCTTTGCAGTGACCTGCTATTGCAACTCTATTTCAAATAATTAAAAGCTTGTTAAATCTATTTTTAATAGTGTTTTTAGACACTTTATTCTTGCTCCATGAAGCCCTTTTCTATTTTCTCTCACTAATCTTCACTTTCCTTCCAACCTGCAGCAACCTACGAACAGCTAACTTAGGCCCCTTTCCCATACACGTTTTTCCGATATTTTCTTTTTTGCTGGTCAATTTTTCCTTTCCCCCGATTCTCCATAAATTTATTTCTCTCTACTTTGCGACCTGAAGGGTCAGCCCTTCAGCACACAGTCAGGGAGGAGCTGCTTTGAGCGCAGGCATGGGGGCCCCCATGGCAGGTGGAAGAGAAACCCACCAACGTGTAGGAAGGCAAATCCCTCTGAGCGACAAATGCGCCAAAGGGTGTTTCCTCCTCGGAGAAACACAGTCTCACTTATGATCAGACACTGCCATCAGAAGGCGCCAACTGAAACTGAGTAACACGAACTGAAAGGACTGGCTTAGTTCAGGCAACTCTGGGAATTTGACAGTAATCTTTCTAACCTGCTACCTCTGTAGAGGCCCACTCTTAACCATCCTCGGCCTTAAAAGATTTATTAGAAGCATTACTTTCCCAAAGAAACTCTAGGAGTGCCAAAGAAGATTTCGGGGCACATTTTCGGGGCACATTTTAATGTGGAAACTAGAGAAAGGAAGAGTCTAAACAGGTGGTCACAAACTTTATTTATGAATGCAACGAATAATAAATGTGTAAATTTGGCTGAAAATAAGATAATGGGAAGAGGTGGGACCTATGAGAATCCCAGACTTCAAGCACTACCTGTTATTATTCAATTTAAAAAATGCTAATTGTAGAAATACAGATATAACTGTTTTATGTTTATGACTACTGATCCAAAATAAAGTTTTCTAAAGTTAAAAACTAAAATATATAAATGTTATATTTAGAGGGATGATAAATATTTGCCACTGAATCCTCAAATGCTCACCCTATACAACGTACTTGTTTTGGTCGTATGACTGCACTGTGTGATATAACAAATTTTTTCTCATATATCTTATAGCTGGTCTAGATGCTTTTCGAACATTCCTAAAATCAGAGTTCAGTGAAGAAAACTTTGAGCTCTGGCTTGCCTGTGAAGACTTTAAGAAAACAGAAAGTGCAGAAAAAATTGCTTCCAAAGCCAAGATGATTTATTCTGAATTCATTGAAGCTGATGCCCCTGAAGAGGTGGGTGAAATATTCCACAATAGTGAATATTTATCTGCTAACAAATCTGCTCCCCACTGAAAGGCGCGAAGTCCATCTTGAGGGAAATTAAATTGTCACTATGTATTCAAACAGAAAATGTTGGTAAATTCAAAAAGAAGTTCCTTACCGTGATCCTCTGGCACTGATTCAGCAAATATTTTAAAGCACCTTCTATGTGCTTAAAGGTTTCTGTTTTCTGAGTACGACACGCAGGCTCTTAAAAATAGTCTAATATGTCAAAAATTAACAGCTCTACAGAAATCCTACTTAAACGTGCTGCTGGATTTCAAATTCACTTTCATTTTCCCTTTTGTAAACCACGGAGGTCAATTTGGAATAAAATTTTTAAAATCAAAAAGGTATGTATGTGAAGGAAAAAACAACTACTAACCAACAGTGTAAATTCTTTACATTTAGTACTTTGGAGACCGACAAACAGCATATAATAATGTCTTCCCTTCCAAAAGAGGGGTTTGCTTACCTTTATTTCGTTGATGGGTGTTGGGCTGCACCCCGCTGGCCTACGAGGCCTGCACTTGCCCAGCTTCAAGACAAAAGAAAGAGCCCGGACTCAGCGAAAGAGTCATCAATGGTTTAATGGATGGCGGAGCTTAAATGTCTGAAGCAAGGTCCTGGAGCGACACCCCACCATGTGTGGTGGACGGCGGGCAGGACATGGTGGCTGGCGGGCAGGACGTGGTGGCCGACGTCACAGGGGAGTCGGGGGGAATAGGGAGGTTACCATTTATAGGGGGAATTGCCATCAGCTTGGCTCATCGGTTACCAGGGAAACCAGCAGAGGGGCAGGGCCCTCTTAGCCCCTCTGGCTAAGTACCTTCTTGGGGCAGAGGTCTTCCCTTATTAAACTATCAAAGGGGAGCCATTCTGATATAAAGATTAGATCACTAGCTGGGGCTGAGGGGCAAGTATGTAGAAAGGGCCTTAGAGAGAAACCTGCAATGACTCCAAGAATAGACCCCATAAAGTGTTTTATGTGTGTAACATCTCACTTATATTTGACTTCATTTCCAGAGCCAGACCATGATCATCTCTGCACACCCCCTTAATGTTTAACTATATATATATTTTAAAACTTCTTTGATTCCTCACTAAATATAACATATGCAGAGAGTTTTAATGCATAAGCAGCAAACAGGAACCTATATGAAACTACTAGCACCAAACATAAACCACTAGCACAAGTCATCATCTTTCCCTAGAGTTGAAATACTGATATCCTCCTAAGTGACAGTTACTAAATTCTCTAATCCAAAATTAAAATTCATGGTATGAGACGTTATTGTACTAGTGAGAACAGAGGACAGCATAGATGAAAGGCAAACATTTCCGAAAATCTAGGGCATAAAGTTGCCGTATCGATAGTTCAAGTTTTAGATGGACATTAATTACTGTAGCATATATTGGTAAAGTATAACATCACAGACATGTGAAACAATTGAAGCTTAGCCTGAAGTTCAAAGGGGGAAAGAGAAAAGAACATAACTCCTGTGGAGCTATTTCAACATTCATTTCCCAGTCACTATCTAAAAATCAATAAATAATTCCAGAAAACTGAAAATGTATTATATAAGATTTGTCAAGTTGATTAATGTCTCATTCCCTAAAAGGCTTTGAAATCAACTCTAGACATATTCTACTTATTGTGATATTGGTTTGAAAGCCAGATGTTTTTCTTCTTTATGAATCCATCTACTGAATGATTATTTTAAGACAACATTCTCAAATATTATATATAAAAAATCTTCTAGTAAGAAATGTAATCTTTTAATTATAGCTGGATTCAAAGTTACAATATATAATAAATTATCAATTTGGACAAAATAGTTTTTTTTTTTCCTAATCTTCCCTTCCAAAATAAATTTATATGGTAATAATTTAAAAAAATAGTACAGCTACTATTTTAGGACATAAAACTTTCATACTTTTTAATAATTTGTCCATCTAATTAATTTTTACTACATAAAATATAATTAAATTTATGGCTGCTTTTCAAATAATAGATTACATTGTCTCCTTGAAGTGTCTAAAGAGGTTATTATTGGGTATGACAAAATTCTCATTGAAGACAAAGAAGTGTGTATATACATTTACAACAGTCATTGTCTTCCCAATTATTTGCCATTAATTATTTCCAATTCCAATTACTAAAGTGCATTTGTCTCTTATATACCAATTGCAGTCTTTAAGGTATCTCTCTATAGTCCATCAGTTACACATTAAATATAATATGACTGTTAGTATGATTCATTAAATGGAGTTATTTTTGAGTGCCTGTTCCCACAATGAAGTCACAGAGTAGAAGGGGAGATTGACATGTGATAAAAAACAGTCAAATACAAAATAAGCAATTTAATAATTTAAATAATTAAAGTTTGTTATTAGCACAATGGGAAAGAGTGATTAAGTCTATCTGGAGAATTTAGGGACCGATTTGCCGGGTGGTTCACATATGAAAAAGATATGTCATTAAAAATAAGCAATATTCGTCAAGAGAGCAAATGAAAAAAGAATATTTCAAACTGCGGGCACAGTGTGTAGCCTGGATGTACAAAGCTCCCTAGCGTTTTCCAGAAATCACAAGCATTTAGATACTGCTAACAAGAAGCAGGGGGTAAGGCTGGCCAGGCAGCAGTAGAGATAAAGAGAGGGTGGGAAGTAGCTTAGATTTATCTAGTAGGTGGGCTTCACATGACAAAGTGGTATATTTGATATGGAGGTTGGAAAATATGATTTTCCTAAGTGGAAATTAATTCAAGAATGAGATTCATATGACAGTATTCTCCATTTTTCTATATTCAATTATAGCTGTAAAACTGACTCTCATAAAGAATCAAAATTATAACCAATTTCCTTGGTAGAAAACCCTAAAACAGAGAACAATGACAAGGTCACATTATCCAGATGTCTATTAAATCCCATTTAGTTTCTTTTCAACTTTTTATGTCTTTATTTCCTCACCTATAAAGTTGCAAGCATGACAATAATTTTTAATTGATGCAAATAGACAATTTACAATTAGACTATATACTAAATTTACCAAATGATCCCTATCTATAAATTGATGTTAATAATGGTTCTCAGTTTCCTATTCTAATAGGCAAAACTGCACACAAAAATTGAAATTTCAGGTCTCTATGAAAGATAATAATAATCGCAGTGGACCTCATGCCCTCTCCTTTACAGTGTTACCATCTCTCTGGTTTCTACACTAATCATGTGATGCAGTGGAAAACCTGAAGGTTAGAGATACAGATTCAAATCCTGTAATCTTGTGGTGATCTATTTCACCCCTTTGAGCCTTAGTTTCTACATCTAAAAACGTATCTCTGAAAAAGCATGTAGCAACCACACAGGAGAGATGAGAATGATGAATGAGATCAAGTGTCTAGGGTCTACATGGGGCAGAACAGGTTTTAAAAAGTGTAATCCTTTTTTTTTTTTAGTTGGAGTATAGTTGCTTTACAATGTTGTGTTAGCTTCTACTGTTAATCCCTTTTTTCTTTACACAAGTCACTGTAAGTGCTACTGAATCTACCTGAAAACATCCATTAACTAACTTCAAAGAACACTTGAGGAAAAGCCACTTTAAAAGACTTGATAAACGTATATATGTGAACACAAATTAGAAAAACATGACAGCAAATCACTAGTTTCAGATAGAAAGAGCTACTCATTGAATGGATTGTACCGAAATATTTTCAGGAGGTACTGCAGGAAAAAAAAATAACTGTGAGCCAGATATTTTGACTAAGTGATTTGAAAATGAGAAAATTATTAGATAAGCAATATATATTTTAAAGTGGCCTTACTCTGCACACAGTAAGAACTTGTGAGTGGCAAAGAAAAAGAATTCTTAAACTTGTATTTATTCTTCCTTCAATTCGGACCACTAATTTCATAATATTTGGAAATTTTCAAAAAAATATTACTTGGTTTCAAAAGAATGTAAATCTTCAAAAAATTAAATAATATTTTTATATTCAGCTAAGACACTGACATATTTTAAGTATTTATGTTTTATTTATATCATTTATATATATTATGTTTGTATCATCACTCCCTTATATTAGAAAGAAAATTGGTCAGGATGGAAAATATGTGATTAAAGAGAAAACTATGTTGATTGTCATTCTGTGAGATTAGAAAATGTTCCAAATCATACTACATTGTAATGTTGAAAACTTAATATAAATTTAACTTCATAGTATGACCAATCCAGGAACCAATACATTGGCAGTTTCTTAAGTAAAAAATATTAGTATAAAATATTTAATTCCTAAATGTATTTATTAAATGTGAGGACATCATAACATGAAACAGAAGAAACTACAGTCATAAAGGAAAAGATGTCTTAATGGGTTGTGCAGGACGCTTTTTAAAATACCTGTCTGGATTTTTTGCTTTTATTTTTATTGTAGTACAATGTTATTTATTGACTCGTATTTTTATTTCACATCAATAGGTGCTTATTCTGTGCCTACGATTCACCTTCATTAGATAAATTCCCTCCATTGGAAGGGAAGCTGGGTCTAGGCAAGAGAACAGGTAATAAACACAGAAGTATAATGCAATGTTTTGTGTGAATGAGGCAGCTCGATAAGAAAATTCAAGAAAATAAAACAGGTTAAAACTATAGTTTGGCTCAAAAGAAACTTTCAACCTAATTGGGTTAAAAAATGAAATTTCTAGAACTGATTTCTAGGACTAAATTAAGTTCTAATTTCTAGAACTTTGCTATTTTTTTCTAGGAAAAAAATAGGAAAGCAACAAATGATTAAGTGCCAAAAAAAAAAAAAAAGAAAAGTAAGAGGTGAAATTGTTTGCATTATACCTAAAAGGACATAATGATTGAATAGTTCTGAGGCAGGATATTGAGATAAGGCCTTTATTTTAAATGAGGTTACTTTTAAACTGAGTCTTGAGGGAAGAGATAGATATATGAATTCTTGGTAGAGAGAAGCCCATGGGCAACTAGAGGCGTTTCCTGATATTACTGGAATGCTAATTTTGTATCTTCCATTTTGTATTCCTATTTTCTTTGCGTTTTTTAAGTGTCACTTCCACAAGGTGCTGATGTTATTTTGAGTCTTGGTCCTGCCCCACAAGTTGCTGCTTGCCAACAGTGCCCCCCAGCTATTGAATCACCTCCAGATAAAATGTTTGCTTGTTTATTAATTTCCTAAGTTTCTGTACACTAATCAATAGACAGGTGTCTATTACATACCAAGCACCTTGCTGGTGCCACTAAGAAAAAGACAGTCTCTGAATAAATAAAGCCAACCATTGTGGTGGGAAAACTGTAGTATAAAAAGGTAATTACAATAAACTTCCATGAGTGTTGAGATAGGGAAACACAGGTGATGTGGTCTCATGCAACAGAAAAATCCAAGTCTAAGGGATCAGGAAGTGTACCTCAAAAGAAGTTAATTAGTAAGCTTTGGTCAGAAATTTGAGTGTAGACGAAAACAAGACAAAATGGGAGGAGGGAAGGATGATAGTAGTGGAAGTGGAGGTCAACCAAAG